CTCGATTCTCCAAGTCAAATAGAACCCTCCATCAAATCCCTGATAACAAAAATGCTATTGGTGAACTTAATTACTGGGTTTTTCAACTGGTGCAACACCATTTCTTGCTAAGCTGACAGTGAGCCTAGGAAGAGTACTTTGATAAGGTAATAAAATGTTCAACAATACAGACTTGAGATTTACAGAGTTTAATTGGCATGTCAGTGTATGCCAGATTTATTTTACATCTTTCATCTCCTGACGCACAGAGCTAGCTCCGTGTTTTCCTGCAGGCTGTTTGGTGGATCTCTAATTACTCTTGTTCCAACGGCACTTTCATGGAAGCGAGAAATATTGTCCTGGAAATTTAGCACTACTCAGGTCTTCAACAACTATCTTATATGAGAAAAGATACTTTGTCAAATTGTCCCTATGGTAGTTTCACTCAAAATTTAATGTGTAGACAAATCGCCCAGAAATCATAATAAAATGTAGTTTTGGATTCACTAGGACTGGGGTAGGGCTCAAAATTCTTCATTTCAAATATGCTCCCACTTAATTCTGATGTTACTAATTCCCAGACCATCCTTTGAGTAGCAAGGTCTTATCCTTCAGGAACTCAAGAGGAAACAAACGGTACTTTTGAACCACGAGGCTCCTGCAACAGACACAGAAATATCTTCTGAAAATCAATGTCTAGCAAACCAAAGTAAGTTACTGATTTTGTTAGTTTGTTTTTGAGACAGGGCTTTGCTCTGTCACCCAGGGTGGAATGCATGGCGTGATCATGGCTCACTGCAGCCTCGACCTCCTGGACTCAAGCAATCCTTCCACCTCAGCCTCACAAGTAGCTGGGGCCACAGGTGTGCACCACCACCATGCCCAGCTAATTTTTTTTTTGGAGGACACGGTTTTATCATGTTGCTCAGGCTGGTCTCGAACTCCTGAACTCAACCAATCCATCTACCTCAGCTTTCCAAAGTGCTGGTATTACAGATGTGAGCTGCCATGCCCAACCAACTTACTGTTCTTTAGAAATTTTGAAATTAAAAGAGCCATATAGATTAACTACATAAAAACTGGAAGGGCACTAAATGTTAAAATTGTGTTTTCCCCTTATTTCTGCATTCTAGATTTTCTAAAAACTATGATTTAACTTTTTAATTTAAAACAATAAGTATTCGTTTTTAAAATGTATTTTCTTTTTTACAAATTATCCTTATCCCGCACTATACACATTGAAGACTAGGTTAAAAAGAAGTTTTTGGCTTTTCCATAAGCATCACAGTATAACATATATGGGGTTCTCTCTGACTCTTTCCCTCTGTCCATCCTCCACCAATAACTGGTTCATAGTGGGCAGCTCTGAGGGCCACAAAAGGTCAATTTATAATGGACTCCAAATGTATTCAACAGTGCATTTTCTAAAGGAAAGAATTGCTGTTTCGGCTTTTGGTTTTACCATCTTAATGGTGAAACTGTATGTTGACCCATTAAAAGTAAATAACTGCTACTCTCTAAGAGTCTATAATGATGAAAAAAGTCTTCCTTAGAAAAAGATGAAACTGGTTTTGCCCTCACATCCCTTATTTGCTGGAAGAGAAATGTAGCTATCCAGCAGGGTTGAACCAGCTTCATGGTGATGGGGCTGGGCACGGTAGTTCACGCCTGTAATCCCAGCGTTTTGGGAGCCTGAGGTGGGCAGATCATCTGAGGTCAGGAGTTTGAGACCAGCCTGGCCAACACAGTGAAACCACGTCTCTACTAAAAATACAAAACGTAGCCAGGCGTGGTGGTGCACACCTGTAGTCCCAGCTACTCAGGAGGCTGAGGCAGGAGAATCACTTGAACCCAGGAGGCTGCAGTGACCGGTGATCACACCATTGCACTCCAGCCTGAGCAAGAGAGAACGATTCCATCTCAAAGAAAAGAAAACAAAAATCTACATTTCCCAGAGGCATCTTGTGAGTGCTTTCTTTGATTGATAATTCGCCTTAAAGCAATTCAAAGACTAGGTGGGTTCATGTTCAAATTCATGTCATTGTTGATGATCCAGTTTTAAAAGCCAGTAGAAGAAACACCGCAAGAGCAGCAAGGCAGTCTGACCAGAGCTTGTTCTCCTGCGCATTACCTTCACCGCATCTGATCGTACTCAGCGCTTACCACACATCAACGACTACAGTAAACATGTTAGAGGGATTACCTCAACTGATGCTCACGACCACCTGTTTCCCTACTTTACAGGTGAGAAAAACATTAGTGAGGTTAAGTCACTTGCCTACAGATAGACAAAAAGTGGTAAACAAGACAGGATGTGACTGATGCCAGGCGTGTGTGTCTCAATGGCACTTTTACAAGCAGGGAGCCTATCAGAAAGGCAGTGTTTACCAGGTCAACTCATATTTCTTTTCCGAATTAGCCCCAAACTTATTCATTATGCTCATCCATTGTTTTGTAGCCACTAATTAGCCATAGCTTGTCCGTTGAGAGCTTGACTCACCTGTTTTCCAAATTGACTGCATATGGATTTTTAGAATTTTCTCATTTTAAAATTAAAATTGAGTAGGCATGTTTACATAAGGATCGAAGTTCTATTACCACCAATATTCCACATGTTATTGGATTTCCAGTCTCATTTTGTCTTAATTTTTCTCATTTGCGTTGCCCTTAAAGTTGTCAGTTTTAGGGGGTAGGGGCCCTGTCTTTTCATTTGAAAACAACAGAGCTTCAGAATTAAAGATTTAAGATTTTTTTTTAAACTGTGAGTAATGGTCGCTTCTGGGTTAATGGAGTTGTGCCTAACTTTTTTGTTTCTGCATTTTCCAACTTCCAAATTTTCCACAAAGTGCTTATAGCAAGAGAAAATTATTCTTTTAAGTAATTTTAACTTTTCTTATCTATGACAGTATAAGTTGATTTCCACAAAATGCCTCATCAACACTGAAAATTATCTAAACGTGGCACCAGTAATAAATAGAAGTAAGATTCTTTTTTTTTTTTTTTTTTTTTGCCAATCAGTTTGAGCTTATGAGGTTGCTCAGGTTAGCCTTGAACTGATGACCTCGCCTTCGCGAGCGCCATGACCTCCGGCGGGAGCCACTTTGGACCCCAGAAGTAAGATTCTTACATTAATTCCAAGGCACAGGCTGTATACGCTGAAGGCCTACTGAGAGGCAGCCGCCCCAGCAGAAGAAAAGAGAAAAACTGGAGGCAGAGAATCCTAGTGCCCTTGTCATTGCTCCCCTGAATTCAAGTGGTCCAGGTTCCTAGACCCACAGAGTGCTTTCTACAGGTTCACAAAATAAAACCTCGCAGCACCCTACATGACAGGAAACCGGGCTTTACAGCAAAAATATGGCTTATCACCTGCCTGGAGCACAGAGTTGTTCATCCTCCCAGAAATGCTTTTTCTCTTTTTTTTGACATGGAGTTTCACGCTTGTTACCCAGGCTGGAGTGCAACGGCGCGATCTCGGCTCACCGCAACCTCCACCTCCTGGGTTCAGGCAATTCTCCTGCCTCAGCCTCCTGAGTAGCTGGATTACAGGCACGCGCCACCATGCCCAGCTAATTTTTTGTATTTTTAGTAGGGACGGGGTTTCACCATGTTGACCAGGATGGTCTCGATCTCTTGACCTCGTGATCCACCCGCCTGGGCCTCCCATGCATGAGTCAGAAAGGAAACTGCTACCATCTTCAAGGTTTACTGAGGAAGTAAATACCAAATGCTGGAAGCACCAGGGGAGATCCCCAGCTGTTCCTGTCAGAGCAACTCTGAAACCAAGATCAGAATGGCTACTCCAAGAGACTAGACTAGGCCACAAAGCAGAATTATAGGTGACGGACACAAAGAAAACAGGGGAGGGTGGGGAAGGGGGGACATACTTTGGGAATAAGTCCTCCAAGAAATAGTAAAATCTTACTAGGGGAAATAGTACAATGCCTCCAGGAAGTAAGACAGAAGCAAAACCTGAGAGAAGCACATCCTTAGTCCCTTTGGAAATACAGGTTTCTCTCTGGGCCAGAATCCTAACAAGGTAGCCCAGTGGATCCTTGAAAAACCACCATTAAAAGCATGATGTTATGATTACAGACTGAGTGACTGAGTTATATCACACTTCTGACATGTACCAGCTGTGTGATTTAAGGTGATTATTTAACTTCTCTGACCCTCAGCTTTCTCATCTGTAAAATAAATAATGAGGCCTAATCATAGAGATGCCAGAGGAATTAAATGAGGTAGCTGGATGCGGTGGCTCATGGCTGTAATCCCAGCACTTTGGGAGGCTGAGGCAGATGGATCACGAGGTCAAGAGATCGAGACCATCCTGGCCAACATGGTGGAACCCCATTTCTGCTAAAAATACAAAAATTAGCCGGGTATGGTGGCACACGCCTGTAGTCCCAGCTACTCAGGAGGCTGAGGCAGGAGAATCGCTTAAACCCAGGAGGCAGAGGTTGCAGTGAGCCGAGATTGCACCATTGCACTCCAGCCTGGCGACAGAGCAAAACACTCTCAAGAAAAAAAAAGAATTAAATGAGGAAATGTATATAAAGTACTATGTATAGGAAGTATACAGTGCCTAGCGTATAGTAGGCCTACAATAAAAAATGGCTATTGCGAGAGAGAGAAAGTGTGTGTGTGTGTGTGTGTGTGTGTGTGTGTGTGTGTGTAACATTTTGTGTATATATATTTGAGATACCTGCTCTATCTCTTGACAAAGAAAGATGAGAAGGATTCTGGTTTCAGTGCGGGAATTATTAAAGGTGATAACATGCAAAATGTTGTATGTGTCAGAATCCCCCAAAATATTAGCCAAATAACAGTATACCATGATGAAGTTATCCTGTGTTCTGCGTTAACAGCTTTTCAAACTCATTTGGAGTCAGTTTAGGTAAAATACTGTACGAGTTTCTATATGTCAAAGAAAAATGGCGTTACATAGAGCTAAACAGGCAAAAAGACATTCTTCAAAACTTATTACCATAGGAGCCAAGTCCATTGCAATAGGGGAGAATGACTGAACTTGAATTTTTTTATCAACATTTTATAGGCTTCATTGAAAGTTGACAAGTGCAACAGTTAAATACAGTGACACCTTACAACTGTGTAGAGAACATGCACAGAAACATATAGATATACAGGTGATATGCAGACACCCCTACTGGGAAATCTGTTTCACGAGCTAGAACTCAGCATTTTCAAAGTATTCGACCAGCTCAATGGAAAGACTTCAGTGAACAGGGATTTACTTCAGGGTATTCAGCAGCTAGGTCTCAAATTACACAAAGTGAGTAACTGTGCCAAATTCTTAAAATTTCTTTAGGTGTGGTTCCTGTCATGTCGGAGTTTTTATGTAGATCTATATATAAAATCCACACCTCCTCAGAGAGCCAGCGAAACATCTAAGTTTCAATCTGTACCAGCTGAATAGTAGTTACAGTCCTCTGTTGTACAAAATAGTTACACTACATACACAAATATACACTAAGCAAAACAACCTTCATGGTAAGATAGCTTAGGTCCCAGCTACCTGTCACCATTTTGTCACTCTCATAGTTTTGTGTCATCCACTGTTTAAGAAGAAAGAGGCACAGTACTATTGTTTTTTATGGATTTTGGTGACAGTCAATTTGTACAGTGAACTCTGTTCCCCCTCATTTTAGTCTTTTACCCTTCTTTCAAGTTCCCCCTGGGGGGAGGAGAGAGGCAGTCCAGTAAGGAGTTCCATCACTTCCCAACCCCAGGTAGTACCCTAAGAGCAAGCAAGAGAGAGAACCCTTGGCAGTGAGGGGTAGGGAGCCAGCAGGGATGGAAAGGCACACAGCTCCTGAGCATGAATTAAACCATTTCTCAGATATCTGCCAGGCTGCATGAGGTCCCAGTATAACATGCTAATTCTCGGATTAACCTTTCATTCACCCAACTAAGTAATTTCTTCAAGCCATAAGTATATGAGTGTTTAATACTGGAAAAAAGAGATAACGGCGTATGTCAGTCTCACGTCTCTTTCGCAGCGAGCAATGAAATGGGTGACTGTGGAGGCGGATTCTCGCTAGCACATCTTCTCCGTCTGTTCAGTTCACACACAGCAGCCAGTTCTGCGGGGACATAGGCAGCTATGTGGTTGGTCCTGAGCCCTGAGATGCTGGCTCGGCAGGGGGCTGTGTGGTGCCCTATGGCTGGGTGGTGGCAAGGGGTAACCAGTCTGCAGCTGGGCCTGAAACTGGGCAAGCTGCTCAGGACTGGCCAGTGTCTTCAGCAGATTGTTCTCCTGCTCCAGCTGGGAATTTTTCTCTATTAGTTCTTTGATTTGCTCTTTGAGGACCTCCACTTCCTCTCTGACGGCATGCATCAAATGGCTTTTCACCAGATCCATAGCTTGCTCGATTTTGTTGTCAATAGCTACCACACTTGCACCAGACGAGCTATTATCAAGCCTCACAGAAGCGTTTTCAGTCCCCTGCAAGGATGACAAGAAAGAAATTGAAAAATGTCTCAGTTGGTAAACTCCTAGATCCATCACCACTGGTCTACACCATTGGGATTTCATGCAATTGCAGCCAAAAACACCCTCGTGGAAAAAAAGAGGGAACACCAGCAGCCTTGTATGAGCTAGATAAAATCTTCTGGCTTTCCACAGCCCAGGGAGAAACAGAAAACGGCAATCCTAATTTAAAGAAACCCGGCTTCTGGGGGCTCAGTGATCCCGGGAAGATGCGGATCCCAGTGCCATGCAGAGGCACTTCCCAGATCCGCAGCCGGGCTCCACTCAGCTCTCTGAACTTGAATTTTTTAAAACAAAAAGGGAGAAATTTTCAGCACTGGAGTGCGCTAATAGAAAAGTACTAGAGGACATTAGTGCTGGCCAATGGGAGTAGGCCATTTGTGTTTGCTAGTTGGTGCTTGCTTATTTATTAAAGTTAGGCTTCTATCATCCCACAGATACTGAGAAATAAGGGAACATTCTTTCTTGATAATTAATTTCAAAGTGATGGCTCCCAGGTTTTTGAGAAAGACAATCCTGGGTTATAAAACTGGCAAGAGGTTGGGAGAAGATGTACCTCTCAAAGGGACAAAGAATTTATAATTGCAAGCTTTCTAAAGTAAATGTTCCTCCTTCTGAACTATAGTTCTATGAAAAAGGGGAGGCTGGATGCCATGGCTTACTCCTGTAATCCCAGCACTTTGGAAGGTGGAGGCAGGTGGATCTAACATGGTGAAACCCTGTCTCTACTACAAATACAAAAAAATTAGCCAGGTGTGGTGGCATGCCCCTGTAATCCCAGCTACTCGGGAGGATGAGGCAGGAGAATCACTTGAACCAGGGAGTTGGAGGTTGCAGTGAGCCAAGATCACGCCATTGCACTCCAGCCTGGGCAACAGAGTGATACTCAGTCTCAAAAAAAGAAAAGAAAAGAAAGGGAAAAAGAAAGAAATAAAGTACATGCTCTTAAAAAAAGAGAGGACAAGGGCCTATATTCAGGAAGAAGCCTGTCTAAAGTTTAGCCAAGCTGAGGGGAACTTTCAGATCCCCTTGATCATATACCCAGCTTGGCAGGGTCCATCTTAATGTATTAGTGAAGAGGCTGCCATCTAAAGCATGTCTTCTCTGGAAGCACCTGTCTAAAATGAGTTGCCTACCTCCATTTGCAATAACCTAACTCTTATGGGTCTGGACATTGCCCGTTGGAGTCATTCTCCTAAGTTAGACAACAAAGGTGGGTGCATGGTTTGTAGGAGACCATCATCAATAACATTGGTGTGATTTGGGGGCAGCAATAAAGGACCTACCTGCATCTCTTTTAAGCCTTTCGTCAGGGAAAACCTCAGCAAAATTTTGATGTAGACAAAGGCATTCCACTCTTTCCTTTCTTTCCAGCTCTTCTTGTTTCAGACACCCTATGCCCTCAGCCTTCCCGCTCTCCTTTTGTTTCCTCCCAGAAACTAGCTTCTGAATCTTATACTAAAATGGAAAAAATTGGCCAACAGCCTAAAAGAAGCCAAAATGTTTGTATATTATAAAATTTTAAACTCAGTGAAATCTTTTGTTTGAACCTGCAGTGAGTTAAAATGTTAGAGGACCTTGCCCTTAATGCTGAAACTGCCCCTTCTAGCAAACAGCTGCCACGTTGAAAGACAGGGCAGGAAAGCATCAAGGAGGACCCCAACCTACCAAGGACAAACCTGGATAGCTGGGGAATGGCCCCATGCCACACTAAGGAAAGCAGGCACTAAGGTGAGTGCCTGGAAATGGGGGACAACAGGGATTCGGGAGGCCCTTGAAGAAGGATTCTAAAAGCATAGGTCTAACCAAAGCAGAGAAATGAAGATTGGTGTTTTCTCACGGTAACTTTTGTTGCAAATGAGTTCTAGAGATGAAAGACTATGGGACCCTAAAAAGGATGCTTCTGTTCAGCTTTACCCCTCAAGTACTGTCTCAGGGCTTTCCTTCTGGCCTCAAGCTCCTTTAAGAGATGGGGTTCCCCATAGAGTCAAAATAACATGTCAATTGCTTCTATATCACTAATTCCCTCAAAAATTATTATTTTTTTTTGGAGATGGAATCTTGCTCTGCCACCAGGCTGGAGTGCAGTGGCGCAATCTTGGCTCACTGCAACCTCCCCCTCCTGGGTTCAAGCAATTCTTCTGCCTCAGCCTCCCAAGTAGCTAGGACCACAGGTGCGTGCCACCACGCCCAACTAATTTTTTGTATTTTTAATAGAGACGGGGTTTCACCATGTTGGCCAGGATGGTCTCAATCTCTTGACCTCATGATCCGCCCACCTTGGCCTCCCAGAGTGCATTACAGGCATGAGCCACCACGCCTGGCCTCAATAATTCATTTTAATGTATATACTCAAGGCACAGTTATATGAGTTAATATATGTAAGACAGGAAAAGAGTTGCTGGCATATGATAAGTGCTATACACATATTAGGTATTATTTTTTCATCATTATGCCACAGCCCTGATTTTGATGGATCTTTGGCAAAGCCAGAGTAGAAAAGTATCCCAGTTATAGCTGTTAGGATAGCACCATAAATCAGAGGAATCCAGTACATATCCATAAAGGAAGATGCAATCATCCTGTTCTTTATAATGACTTAAGATAGCAGGATGAATAATATCTTTCTAGAGAGAGACTTCCCCAATCAGTCAACTGAACCTATTCTTATGTGGGATTACCTCTGCCCAGCACCACAGATACATAAAGGATCTGAATGTGGAAGATCTCCAGCTCTGGTAATATTCTCTTAAGATATTTCTTGTAAGAAATTAATTTATGCAGCCAACAAACATATGAAAAAAAACTCATCATCACTGGTCATTAGAGAAATGCAAATCAAAAACTACAATGAGATACCATCTCACGCCAGTTAGAATGGTGATCATTAAAAAGTCAGGAGACAACAGATGCTGGAGAGGATGTGGAGAAACGGGAATGCTTTTGTACTGTTGGTGGGAGTGTAAATTGTTCAACCATTGTGGAAGACAGTGTGGTGATTCCTCAAGGATATAGAATTAGAAATATCATTTGACCCAGAAATCCCATTACTGGGTATATACCCAAAGGATGATAAATCATTCTGTTATAAAGACACATGCACACGTATGTTTATTGAGGCACTGTTCACAATAGCAAACACTTGGAGCCAACCCAAATGCCTGACAATGATAGACTTGATAAAGAAAATGTTCCACATATATACCATGGAATACTATGCAGCCATAAAAAAGGATGAGTTCATGTCCTTTGCAGGGACATGAATGAAGTTGGAAACCATCATTCTCAGCAAACTATCACAAGAACAGAAAACCAAACACCCCATGTTCTCACACATAAGAGGGAGTTGAACAATGAGAATGAGAATACATGGACACAGGGAAGGGAACATCACACACCAGGGCCTGTCAGGGGGTAGAGGGCTAGGGGAGGGATAGCACTGGGAGAAATACCTAATGTAGATGATGGGTTGATGGGTGCAGCAAACCACCATGGTACGTGTATACCTATGTAACAAACCTGCACATACTGCACATGTACCCCAGCACTTAAAGTATAATTTTTAAAAAGAGAAAAAAATGTATCTGTAAAGCAAATATAAGGGAAAGTCCTATGATACGTGAAGGACAGTCTCTATGGACTCCTGTCAGCATCCTTCAAAGTGACCAGCTGGAATGATTTCATAACACCCAGTCCCAGCAACAGCAGTTCTGCTTCCAGAGGAAGACTGACTTACCAAAAATCACAATGAAACTGTTGATATAGGGTAATTTAGTGTTAAAGAGACCCAGCAGGGTGGGTGTTTTTTCTTAAAAGGGAAGAGTGCAGTAAGGATAGTTTAATTTGGGGCCTGATCTAAATCTTTCACTTCCTCTCTCAGGAGAGAAGCAGATGTACACTACAGGGTTGGGGAGGGAATGGGGAGGATGAAGAAAACAAAATCAGATTGTGGTTCAAGTCTTCTTGAAACATCAGTCTGATGCTCATTGTCTCATCTAAGCATTTGGAAATTCAACACAGAAGAGCATCTTCATTTCTGTTCATAAATTATTTATGCCCATTTCACCTTTTCTTTACAGGCACAAATAAAATAAAATAAAAGTGAAGCCAGCAAAAGAGAAGCCATCTTTTCAACACACAGTGCTGCAGTAATTAGATATCTAGAAAGAAAAGGATTCATTCAAACCCTTACCTCACATCATACACAAAAATTAATTCAAAATGAATCCAAATATCTTGGACTTTATCAAAAGGTTATAAGTTTTGCACTTCAAAAGATAACATTAAGAAAATTAAAAGATAAGTCACATATGGTAGAAAAATATTTGTAAGTCATATATCTGATAAGGGACCTGTATCCAGAATATATAAAGAACTCTTACAATTTAATAGTAAGAAGAAAACTCAATTTTTAAAATAAGCAAAACATTTGAATAAACATTTTACTAAAGAAGATATCTGAATGGTCAATAAGCACAAGAAAAGATGCTTAACATCATTTTTTACTAGGAAATGCAAATTCTTTCTTTTTTTTTAGATAGGGTCTTACTCTGTCACCCAGGCTGGACTGCACTATGACACCGTCACAGCTCACTCCAGCCCCAACCTCCTGGGGTCAAACAATCCTGCCACCTCAGCCTCCCAAGCTGGAACTACAGTTGCATGCCACCATGCCTGGCTAATTTTTGTATTTTTGGTAGAGACAGAGTTTCACCATGTTGACCAGGCTGGTCTCAAGCTCCTGAGTGTAAATGATCTGCCTGCCTCAGCCTCCCCAAATGCTGGGATTACATGCATGAGCTACTCCACCCAGCTGGGAAATGAAAGTTAAACCCAAAATGAGATACCACTGCACACCCACTAAAATGACTATAATCCAAAAGGCAGGCAATAGCAAGTGTCAGCACAGACACAGAGAAACTGGAAGCTCCATACATCCTTGGGGGATACATAAA